CTTAGTTGTGTCTTAAATATGTTTGTGTGTCATAATCTGATTAAAATTGGTGTACTTGTGTTTTTAATATGTTTACCTGTGGGGTTTGTACAACGTTTTCGTGTGTACATATTTGTGTGTGTTTGTAAAATGGATAATACAAGTTTGTTAATGTTTATGTGCCAGCGGTGCAGATAGTGGGGGGGTATACGTCCCCCACAGTTTCATAGGGACACTGACCCGTCCCCCCGATTTAAAGTAATATATATATTATATTTTTTATTATCTTAAAGGTAAATACCGATTCATTTGTTAATCCACATACATACTTATATTGTATTATATTTGATCTTGAAACAGTTCATATTTGAGCGTACGGTTAATGTTACTTATGATTGTAAAACACATAATAAATCCCGGTCAAATGCACGCTGAAGGCTCTTTGAGCAGCTTTTCACTCACTGATTGTGCTGTTATGTTAAATGTTTGTTGTTTGATTTTCATGTATTTTTGTCTGGATATTTGTCTGTGGATGTTGGACATGGAGCTGCTGTGACGCAAGTCAAATTTCAGACTTGATCTGACCAATAAAGTATTATCGTATCGTATCGTAAACTGTATTGGAAATGGTAATGCCTTTCTCTGATATCCAAATTTCTGCTTCTAAATTCTGCAAATCATATTTTTAAGGTGCCCTTCTACAGAGGAGAAAGGATCACGTTTGATGTCGCTCCTTCCAGGATGAATTTCAAAGTGGAACACAACAGTTTGAAACTGGAGGTAAAGAGTGAAAATATATCTACATATAGATATAACCGTCATTATCTTGTGAGTATGAATATGTTTTATGTGTTATACCACATGCCTTACTGTTTCTGTTGCAGCCAATCTTCCGGGTCATGGGCTTCTCTGTGATTGGCCGAGTTCTCAACAGTGATGGGGGGGAGGGCGTCCCTGATGCCACAGTGTCCCTCAACAACCAGATCAAAGGTAAACAAAGAAACTCCCGAAAAGCAATAAATAAAACATCCAACTGCGGAAGTGCTCCATTTGTGCCAGGGCTCGACATTATAAATGGCCCGCTGGCCCGGAAGCACTATTTAGATTGATTCAAATGTTGTAGTACAATTAGTAATGTAGTTAGTGCATAAATTACTATTGCAACAAATGTGTTAATTTTCTTCATTATTAGTCGATTTTTTGTTTTGGTGGACGAATGCTCCGGGCCAGTGGTTACAATGGTGGGGCCAGTGATAATACAATTCCACCGGCCTTAATGTCTACCCCTGTGTGCATTTCGTTGTTCTCACTTTACGTCTTTCGCTCTTGTGTCCCTCAGTCATCAGCAAGGAGGAAGGCTCTTTCCGCCTGGAGAACATGACGGCTGGTACCTACACCATCCGTGTCACCAAGGAGCTCATGTTCTTCGAGCCAATCACAGTGAAGATCGCCCCCAACACACCCCAGCTTCCTGACATCATCACAGCAGGGTACGCATGGCCTGTCCGCTGTAAACAATGATATTAAATAGCTACACTACACATGTTCTGAAATATCAAAAATATCAGCTTCAGCGCTCTTCCTAGCTCGATCTGACCTCTGATGTTGTTCCCACAGGTTCAGTGTGTGTGGCCAGATCTCCGTCAGCCGCCTGCCTGAGGGCATGAAGCAGCAAGGCCGCTACAAGGTCACTTTGACTCAGCAGGGCCAAGACAAGGCCTCGAGCAAGACCGTGGACTCAGACCCCCAGGGGGCCTTCTGCTTTCAGGCCAAACCCGGAGACTACAGTGTCCATGTAAGACTCTCGCAGCAACTGGTCCCTGACTAAATCGACACAAAGCTAACCTCAAACACTTGACTCTAAGATATCTAATGTTTGTCTTTTGAAGTGTATCCTAGCGATGTAATTGATTTCAGTGCCTATGTAGCAGTATGGTAACTCCGTTGTCTTGCAGGTGTCTCTCCCCGAGGCGGAGGTGAAGGCAGGGCTTGCTCTGCAGCCTCAGGCCCTGGAGGTCTCCCTTGTGGACCGGCCCCTCACAGACCTACTCTTCACCCAGTTCATGGCTTCTGTCTCTGGGAAAGTCTACTGTCTAGGTAAAGGCTTGGTAATATACACTGAATTTGTAATTCTAGTATACGTGCTGTCTTTGTCTTAGTGGCTCCCGTCCCACTTAAATATTTATGTGGTTGTTTGTTCATATTTTCCCGTCTCCTGTGTACCCTGGTTGATCTGTAGCGTCCTGCGATGACCTCTCTGTGACTCTGCAGCCAGTGAGTCGGCAGGGAGAGAGGCGGACGGTGGCTCTGTCCGGCAGCAACGACATCCTCAGCTTCTCCTTTGAGGACGTTTTACCAGGGAAATACAAAGGTCAGGACTCGATTCATTATTTTTACATATTTCATTATATTGTACCAAACAAATGTGCTCGTGTCAGTTTTTTTTTTTACATATATATTGTGCAGCCCTCATTCATATATTGGCAGAAGATGAAATTTAAATAATTTCTATGTTTATTTGAATGTGAAATACAAATATTGTGTCACTTCAATCAATGAGTAGCTCTGGTAGAAGCTTTCATTAGCAGTTGAATTCAGCATATGTGTAGCCTAGCAGGAAATATAAAATGCTAAATGCAAGCCTCTATTTATTTGGAGCAGATTTGCACCTTTAAATCCTTTCATCAAACATGTCTCTCTGTTACTTTTCTTCTATGTATTGATTATTTTTCGTTCTCCCCTTTCAGTGAGTATTACTCACGAGGAGTGGTGCTGGAAGCATAAGTCTGTGGAGGTGGAGGTGCTGGACTCGGACGTGGTGGGAGTGGAGTTCAGACAGATTGGCTACATCCTGCGCTGCTCCCTCTCCCATGCTATCACTCTGGTCAGTAATCAGTACCTGGTGTGTGTATCAGATGGTGACACCTCCACAATTATTCTAATTATATCTGTTTTTCTGCATAGGAGTTCTTCCAAGATGGCAGCAAACCCGAAAACGTCGGCGTGTACAACCTCTCTAAAGGAGTCAACCGCTTCTGTCTCTCAAAGCCAGGTGAGGTTCTTTCCCCTGACCGCTCATTAGCTTAAAGGGGACCTATCATGCAAATTTGCACTTTCTGATGTCTTTTATACATAAATATGTGTCCCCGGTGTGTCGGGGAACTCACGGAGCGTCAGAAAATAAAACCCTCTCTCTTTTCCTCCAAACCCAAATCTTTTAAAAATTGGGCTACAACGGAGGTGATCCAGATTTGCGTCCGATATGACGTAATATTGGAAATGTAGGCTGGCTTTACACCCACTTCCCTATCAGAAACGTTACATTAGCATCGCTAACACTAAGAGCTAACCTGTACTGCACAGAGCATGTGTGTGAAGAAGCAGGAAATAAAAAGGAACTCACCTTGTGGTATAACCGGCGAGAGAGAAAGCCTTTGAGCTCCATACTGTTTCAGAAATAATCCTTGATAATCCTTGATATGGCGTTTCATCACGGCATTATTTAGTTTAGACAGTAGCTACCGGGTCCCGCATGAGCTCAGCCCCCTCCTTTTTTCTTTTTTATCAATTTTTTTTTTTTTTTAAACTTCATACCCAAAATCAGAACTTTTGAAACAGGAAGTGAAATGGAGGGCCACGCGTGTAGTGGGTCACAACGCCGTTACGCGACAACGCGTGACCATGACACATGCCACCAGGATAAGATGACATTATGGTACGGCCAAAAAAAGACAGCTAAACCACTCAGGTCACAAGACATAAATGAGTTACATTTTGGTTTAATTTATGTACGTCACAGAAATAGTGACAAGTGAGATGACTCAAGGTTATCTTTATGTCAACATGTGGAGAGAACACACAGAAATAAATAGAGCATAAAGAGCTGATCAGCATAATTGTTAAAAAGACTTAGTGGACCTTTACAAGAAGCTGATCATTTTATAACCATCAACACTTTGGGGATCGTGTGTCACATCGGTGCGACTCAGTAATTGACTATTCATTGCCACTGCAGGTCCTAGAACAGCCACCACTACTCGGGCAAGTACACTACCGCGTGACGTCACTCCCAGTCCTACGACCCCCGGCTCGACAACATGTGTCCATTTGTTGTCAGTTAAATAACATAACGGTATCTCCCTTTTGGCTTTATTTATGTACCTTAGGAGAGTAAATGAATGCATAGCATGCACATCTTTAGGACGGAGTTTAACTTACCGTCCTCGCTCCCCACTGAAACATATTTGTGGACCTCTTTTGTACAAATCAACTAACTAATGAAGCAAAATAATTCCATTCGCACTGTGTCTTGGGAAACCGAGGTTTGTGAAATGAGATTAGCTATGAGCTCCCTATAAAGAGGAAAGATCTATACGCGGTTAAGGACGATTACAATTTCACCTGGCATAGTTACGATAAAATCCGATATCGTATCCAGAGCATATTTTTATATATTTTTGTACAATACTTCACAAAAACCCACGAGTTGTTATGCGGTGTTGACTAGTGTTAAGGATCGGTACGGAGTATAGGGAGGGGGAGNTCGCAGTGTCATGGCGTCCTCTCTGACATATTCTAAAAACATATTAGATCGGTTAACAATAATATTTAATCGCCTTATTTCTCTTTAAAATAAAGTGTGGGATCTAATATGTTTTTAGAATATGTCAGAGAGGACGCCATGACACTGCGATGTCAGACTTGTATGAGGACATTTAAAGGTCCCCTATTATACAGTATTCCATCAATATATTATAGGTCTCAGATATATACAAACATGTCTCTGAAGTGTTTGGCTCCAAACACTAAACAGATCATTGCAGCCTTACCCATAATCCCCTCTGTTTCAGCCCTGTTTCCAAAGTGCTGATTCTCTGTCTGTTACTTTAGATGAAAATAAGGAGCCCCTCCCCACGCCCCTCTGAGAGAGATTTGGTTAGAAAGAACACAATGTTGCTCTAGGAGGAGATTCAGGTGATAAGGTGGGTGGGGGGGTTACCTTGGTTGCTGATTGGTTAATGATTACACAAGCCAAAAAATCGTTATGACATCATAAAGTGGCCAAAATCTGATCAGCTCATTTTCAGACAGGTTTTTATAGAAATGGATCAGGAACAAAAGAGAGAGAATCTTTTTTCCTGAAACTTTCAGAATGTCTTTACACAGAGGGGGGGGACACATGGTTATGTAGAAGAGACATGAAGAAGTGGATTCTCCATAATAGGTGATCTTTAAGTTAAATATCTTACTTAAATTCCTTTGGGTTGTATTTAATGGCATCTGTAAAGCATTTCACGGCCATCTCGTACTGACTGGAGGCAGCCATACGATTTCCCATACCTGCAGGGAGAGAGCGGACATCTTTAGTGAGATAAGATAAGATGCTCCTTTATTAATCCCTGTGGGGAAATTCAGTAGTTTGACAGCAACAGGGTAAGATTGAAAAACAGGACCGCACAGATTACTACAATTAAGGATAACAAATTAAAATGATAAATAACAATAAAATAAGAAATGAATTAAAATGAACATATATACATATTTGGTCATGTGTACATATTATTTTACACGTGTATATTTTATAATTGGAAAGTCTCAATGTTAATTCTTACCAGCAAGCTCTCTGCTCCTTTTTGCTAACTCTTCTGCAATAGGATCCATTTGTTTCTGGTAAAGTTAAGAGTGTGCGCATTAGTCTCCAAGCACCACAGGAAACACTGATGACAACCAGGTAATGGTACATTCATATCATTGTTTATGGATGTCAATTACAATTAGATTAAAAATAAATACAAAGAATTGAATGGGGGACGATGAAGCACATATTATAAATGAATAGGAAATATAGGATCCGACAGTCTTAACTGATTACTTATTATTGTTGTATTGTAATAATATCCATTACCATAAAGTTTAAAAATGTGTCTGATGTGTCGGAAAATATCAGTTTGAGAGTCATGATTAAGATTAAGCCTTAAATAATTATAAATTCATTAAACATATAAAAGTGTTCAGTGTTCCCACCTCTGTATGTGGTTCATATTTCTCCTCCTCCTCTTGAACTTCAGGTTGTGCCACCATTTTAGTTTGTTCCTCCTCAGATGGCTGAACTTCAGGTAATTTAGTGTTTTTCTTTTTTCTCTCTCTGGCAGGCCTCTCATTACACAATACCTCGGGCGCCGATTTTGTCGTAGAAGCGTGGGAATTATTTATATTGAAATCCTGCAAATCATTCAAAAAGATAATGAAACACAAGGTAGTGGTTTAAAGATGATCAAACACAAACAAACTACAATGTTAATACTGATGGCAATAGCTCAGATCAAACTATATCAGACTTTACAGATCAGGAGCTTTGGGGGCAGGGCCTTCTCTGTGGAAGCCCCGAAGCTCTGGAACTCCCTCCCACAAGACCCTCACCCTGTTCCAGTCCCGCCTCAAGACTCATCTCTTCAACTCTGTATATCCATAAGCCCCCCCCCCCCTTCCTCAATCAACTTCCTCATGACTGCCCTTTCTGTTTATCTTATTTGTTTTATTTTATTCATTTATTATTATTTGTTGTTTTTGTCTGTCCTTGTTTGTCTACCTTCCCCCCGACTGTAAAGTGTCTTTGAGTTAGAGAAAAGCGCTATATAAATATAATTTATTATTATTATCTATTAATTCATCCACTGCACAAACATGTCTAGTTCTGGATTGTCTTAAGTAGGACTAATTTGCTTTGAATTCTGGGTAAATGTGGACTTTTTCAAAAGCAAAAAAACATGACTAATAAGCAATCTTGAAGTAAAACCGTTTGCTTTCTGGAAACTTAACACTCATTAAAATCACCTTAAAACATCATGACGGTGTGATATTATTACGAAATAGGACTTTTCATAGTGTTGTTCTTCTTGAGGTTTATTTTCACCTTCGATTTATTCACCTGTGCCATCACCGGTAAGATATGACTTCTGAAGTACTTTTCTGCGAGTGCAAACGGTAATTTAAAAATGAATGTCCACAAACCATTTGCTTTTTTTCTTCTTTTGTAATCGTCTCCTCGAGATTTTCCTCTTCATTATTACAACTGTTCTCTTCATATCCAGCCGCCACAGTGCCATTGTGTGTCGCATCAGGTTCAGGAGATTCTCTTGCTTCTGCATTATTTTCATAAACAGGATTGTCTTTCGGATTTTCTGAGGAGTCTGACTTCCCTTGTTCTTCCTCCTGGAAACAATAACATCAAAGATATCAGGAACTGAAAATGCCTTAATGTTTGGATTCAGGGTATATGCAGGAATCCTGAAGTCAGATGTAATCCCTTTTAAGACCTTTTTAAGACCCTTTCCATACATTTTAAGACCTCATCGCCACTTGGAGTTCTAACCGGTTACCTTGGCGACACACTTTACCTCACATTGACTATATACAGTATGGATTGTCCTTCCTCCTTATCTTCCAACCATTTTGACGCAGACTTGCATTTCCCCATAACGATGTTGTTTAACAACCGGCATAAACGGACCTTCGCACGCTATCAAGCAGTGAGCGTGCGATGTCCTGTTCAGATGACGTCAAATCCAACGGGATGCCATAAATAAACTACACAGACTCACACTACACACCTACGCAATGATTACATTCAGGCAGACTGTAGAATACAACCTCTTTGGACAATTTATATACTTATTGAAAACAAGCTACAAAATGTAATACCTTGGAAAATGCCGTTTAATACTTTTTAATAGCCTTCATTCTCGCTAAATTTATTTATCAACTTTTAATACTTGTTAAGACCCCGCGGACACCCTGGGGTTATATTTCCAGAGATATAATGTAACTTGATTGTATTCACAGAAAAAAAGAGGAGACTTACAGGTAAATTGTCTTTAACTGCATTTTCCTTTTCTAACCGTTTCTTTTGTTTTTTACGCTGAAAAAGAAAAGAGAAAAGTGGAAGCGTCAAAAAAGTAAATAAGAAGAAACATTGAAAATATTAAAATCTGAATTAATTTGCAGACACTTACCAATTTCTTACGCTTGTTCCTCTCAGTTTTTTCCTTACGCTTTTCCTCGTCTTCTAACAATTCCTTTGCATGTTTATCAGCCTCCTGGAAAAACAACAAGTTATGAGTCTTTACGTGGAGCATGAAGTCAGAAAATCTAAATGAAATTCACCTGAAGTGAAAGGACACGAGTCGGCCTGAAAGCTACATCAAGTCACAAACCAGGGACACATCATAAAGGAAGCTTTTTAGTTTCGCTTCCAAAGAAAAGTCAAGCAGAAGGGGAATACCTCTTCACTGAGTTGCTTAATTCGTGGATGTGGTTCTAAAGATCTGTGTGAAACAGTGGGTGTATAAAAGCGATCATCATCTTCATCATCGTCATCATCAGTATATATGATGTCATCGTCCAAATCTCCCTCAAACGTCCTTAAAAAATCTAAACCTGGGAGATTCAGACACAAACAAACAAAGTGTAAACAAGCAGCATCTTAATTCAGAACAAAGAATATAACCGATCTTTAAAAAGTCTGATCTTGATAGAGCATGGTGCCAAGTCACAACATATAGTAGTACTTGTATGTACTTGTATGAACTTCAGAACTTGGCCATTCCCTCTTCTCAGTCTGAAAGAGCTTGGTGAATAATGTCGTTAGACCAAACATAGTCGACTAAAGATTGTATACTTTTGCCAAACACCCGCCCTCAGAGCTTCTGTTATCAGCTGCAGTGGTTTTGGCGGTCTGTAGCTTTATGAAACTGATAATCTGACATTCATGCCCAGTTTAAGCAATAATTGGCCAGTTGTGTTAAAGTCAAAAGAGAGCCTGGGGTTGGAACTTGTATTTCTTTAATTTTTTTATTGGTTACACAATTGTCAATTTTCATTTGAAATATGTTGACACTGTACTGCCTTTTAGTAAGGAGTGAAAATGTGCATAGTTAGTTATCCGCAGATATTGCGTTGTCTCTATAGCCTCGTCCCCATATGAACTCCAGATAATATCTGTACATCAGATCGGCACACTGTTCAGTTAGTCCGAACTCATTGGAAATACTCTCGGTCTCAGTGAGATGTCACGCACTGAAGATGCCGTTATGCATTTATTACAGGCAAACATGCAGTAGGGAACAGTTAAACATTAAACAGGATACAATCCGCGGTCTACTGACAAAAAGACATTGATAGATAACCGTCCACACCCTTATATTTGTCTATATATACACACAGCATTTCTTGTTCTGCTGGTGACTCATGACACTATGTAGTCAATAAAAGTGGTGTCTATTTGTCTAATGGAGATATTGTTGCATTACCTTGTGGGTCTAAAACAATGTTGACCAAATAAGTAAGACAAAAGGTTTAAGAAGACATATAACCTAATCACTTACGATTACACTGTACGCAGCTTACATTACCTAACACTTTTTATTATTATTATTATTATTATTATGTATTCAGATATTTGTTGTATCACAAAACTATGCTGATACTGTTTTGTTGCACGGTTTGTCAGTCCAGTAATACTGGGTCGAGTTTCATTTTCCAGTTCTCTTCTCAATCATCAGGTTGAAATCATCTGTAGTTGAGAAATTGCCTTACCTAATAAGCCAGAGGCGAGAACATCTAAAATTGAGTCTCCAGGATGGCGTCCATTGATGAAATCCACCATAGTTTCCTGAGATGAGGAAAAGATCAGACACTTATAATGCATCCAAGCTTTAGACGCAATAATGATCGTATACCTTGCAAAAGTATAAACTAAACATTGCTGAAAGTAACGTACTGTGTAACCCTTGCTTTATTTTGCAGGGTGGGAAGTACATTTTGTTGCAGTTACCACAATAGCTGGTAGATAACACTGATAAAGTAACCGAGGAATAACGCCCCTAAGAAAATCAGCTTTAACTACAATTTTACAGTTACTCAAATAAAAAGTTATTTTCCTAGCAAAATGTTGTCTAGTCACTGCTTCTCAAATGTGAAGACATGATGCTTCTCTTCTATCCATTACTGTAAATTGACTAGGATTATGTATGGTTGTTTAGTTTGACAGCAAAACAAGTTATCACACATTATCAGTATTTATTTTTACATTAAATAGCGCAAACACTGTTTTGAGTGACTGTTAGTAACATGCCCTACTTCTGTGTATATGTGTTAACAGTTTACTGCTTTAATACACTATGTAATCCCTGATACATTTACATTGTTTGTGACATTATTGTTAATACAACAGAGCTATGATATATTAAGTTATTCATTGAGACTAAATGCCCTAAGCTTATGTATTTAGTTATCCTTTGTGAAGGCTGCACTAAAGTACATGTTATCTGATTGTTGTGGTAAAAGGCTCTCAACGGTGGCAGCTCATATTCAAATGATGTTTGTGAAAGGTAAGGTAACACTCTTGCCATGACACACTTAAAATTTGCAAAACCTGTTATGCCAAAATAATAGGAACAACAGAAGTTTCCAGGTGCCTAAATCATACTCACATGAGTGTGCATGAGTCTTGAGTTTTCTCGGATTCGAGATACAGGAGCACCTGAAATGTAGAAAAGTGTTATAATCAAATACGTATAAAACACGTTTCTAAACATCATTGTTCACGTTGTTACAGTCCATCGTCATAACGTAGCTAGCTAGCTAGTAAGCTAACTAAACACTTCACTGTTCTCAGTAAATGAAACTTAGCGAGGAATATGAAACAAATGATAATCACTACTTTAATGATACCTCTAACAATGTCTTTCTTTTTTGGCATGGTGATAGTGTCTTTGAAGTATTTTCCCGCGACTGTGTCTGAAGGTATTTATCGTTGAAGGTAAAATGTACAGTTTGGTCCTGACTGTTTTCTTCCCCTTTCCGCGTTTGATACGGGCACTTTTTTCCCTGCCTTTAACATTAGAGGCTGCTACCAGCCTCCAACAGCCTACACCAATCAAATGGTGAGCATTTCAGTATGTTGTGGTTCAGGGCTGTGATTGGATGATTGACCTGTCAATCATGGTAAAGTAGGCGTCCTTTGAATGCAACGTGCTGCCTGCGAATCTGCCTGAGAGCAAAGCATCAAAGGACCTGTAAAAAGTAAAACAGACTGGTACATACTATAAAATAATTCATAAACCTTACATTCGAATCAGGTTGTCTTTCTTCGTACTATTAATATAAAATAAATATATATATATATATATATTAATGTTTCTTAGTGTAAGCATTGTTGGATGAGCCTGCAACTTTGTATTGGCAACAACTACGCTGTAGCTGTTGTGTAAATTACAATGGACTTTGAATCTTGAAAAATATCAACTACAGTCAGAGATGAAGAAAAAGATCAGAGATGAAGAAACAAATCAAGCCAGGGAAGAATTTACATCTGCGATTTAATTAGCCTACAAACCTATTCCTATCTTTTTAAAGGTAGTATTAGGCCATTGACCATCCTATCTAGCAGAAGATCTATCTGTAAGCTGTTTTGCATTCAATGAACTGACTCCATCATATCAGTGAATGTGATGGTATTTTGTACCTAGTGATATCTTGCAGGGCACATACAGTGTTGCTGCAATACAAATACAAAAATATAGTTTTATATTTCTATCAACTGTATTTAATTTAAATCTAATTGGATAATAACATGTGTTTATGGTAATTGTATTTATTCTAAACAATTTGGGGAGTATTACATCGCGAGAGTTAATTAATGACTCACAAATAAAGCTTTGCTTCTCTACTCTTAATGGGTGGATTAACCTGTTATGGAGGCCTGGGTTAATGCGTTTTTTTGCCATAAAAAAGTGATTTTAGGTGATACAAACAAATAACTTTTTATTTTAGAAACGATGATATAGAGAGAAACTAAACAAAAGCACCAACAAATATCCAGTGGCATTTTATATTATATTTGCCTTTCAACCAATTTCCATTCGGAATAAGTTACGTTTTTTTCTTCTTCTTTAATGCCATTCTTGAATTCAAATCCATTCTCGCGCCCTCTGTCCTCTTCCCGCGCGAGTTTCCGGGTTTTCGAGTTGTCCTCCACATTTCCTAGCAACGCTGGCTCCTTGGATACAAACAGGAGGGAGTGCGCTCACTGGAGGACTGACAACAACAACAACATGGAGCCTCGAGATGTAATTTGTCTCAGTTTTACCCCTTTTCTCCTCTGAAAGTGTTATTGTGCAGCATATTGTATCGTGGTTCGGTTCGTTTTAACCTGGTTGAATATGGCTAGCGTTTACCCGACGCTGGCCGTTGGTAATAGCTTGCTAACCGCTTGGCTAGGTTGTTAGCTAATGTATCAACCCGCTAACAGACCTCTGAGACAACGTTACTCAGTTTAATCGACCTTGTCAGACAAAACCTTGTGTTTGCATTCTTAGTAGCCAATAGTTGTAGCATGTAGGCTCATTTGCAAAGGGCTATTGTTAAGAAAAGGTTTGCAGATTATAGATACAGTAGTCATGTGTCTCTCCTTAAGCTAACAGCAACCTGTTGCGCTTAGCTAACTTTATTCGGAGCTTCTTAACTATCTGGTATATGATATTTGAGAAAATCTAGGTAAATATAATTGAAAAGGTAACACATTAGCATCTGTTACAATTGCTACAAAGGTGTGTTTTGACTTCCCTTTAGCAGCATTTGATAGCCATTTCAGAGATCTGGTAATAATAGGTCTCTTAACTGACAAACCTGACAGTTTAAAGAGGCCAGATGATCTGCAGCCAAACAGGCAGTATAACTGTTCACAAAATCTCAGATAGATTAGGGAATTGCTGTTGTTATAGGAGCCGTGTCAAATAATTGAAAAACAAGTATTTACAAACGAAAGCGTATTTAAGAAATCCAAATAGTTTATATTAAGTCAAAAAATGTACCTTTAAATCAGAGAATGGTGGGTTGTCTTTTTCCTGAGTTTAAAGTCTGCTGTATTAAATTAAATTGATGTAATTTTCTCCCGAGAATCTTTTCAATTTACACACAGGGTTACTCAGCTTTGTTAAATGGCACAAGAGGCCAGTTACATTGAGTTATAACATTTGTTGTGACTTGGTTTTACAGAGGGTGACGGCTTCTGCTCGGTTGCCAGCAGGTGAAAATACAATTCAGTCTGTTGGACAAACATCCATTAACCAGCCGGGAGCTCAAAGTCATGACCGACAGAGGCAGAGGCAGCCCAGGCTGGACACGGATAGCTGGGAGCTTCAACAGCGATGGCAGCGCTCGTTTGAGCCAGGTATGTCTCGGTAAATACATATTTTCTGTCATATTAAATGTTGAATGGGATAAGGTGATGTAGAACAGACTGTGTTTCTGGAACTCTGTCTTATCCCCCAACTGTCTAAAACAAATTGAGGCATCTACCAACAAATGTTCGGCACTACTTAAATAATAATGAGAATTCAACGCATTCGGATCTCATGGTAATAGGAAAGCTGAGGAAATAATGATTTGTATGTAAGTTTGAAGGATGTATACTTTGGTTGTAAATGTGTTTATGATGCCTGTGAATAACATTCAGCATTTTCTGTATCATCAGAATTTCAGGACAGCAACCTGTCTCCATCCCTCTCCCTGTTGCCTGCACACTCTGGAGTGGAACAAAACCTCACCGAATGTTCTTTATTCCAACAAAGTGACAGTGAATTTGCCCCTTTAAGGTAAACAACAATAGGTTTTGTGGACATAATATTCTACAACATTGTATTTGAATGTTCAGTTATCTAATTGTATTTGTTTACTTTTTAAAGGGCGTTGCCCGACATCTCTATGGCATCAGAGAGGTTTCACGTTCCTCTCCAGGATCGCACCTCTCAATCCTCTGAGCGCGGCTCTCTGTCCCAGTACCCTTTAGACCAGGCTACCAACCTGTCTGGAGAGGGAGTGAGCAGCTGCTGCTCTCTGTCCCAACACAGCTTATCTCCAGGAGACGAAGACAGACGAGAGGAAAAAGTGCACCCACCAGCGATTGCAACCACTTACAGACGGGGAGTACCATCCAGTGATGATTCAGACAGAAGAGAGGAAGACTCAGAGACTCAAACTGACCCTCCAGACACGCCAGTAGGAGAGGCTGCTCAATATGACATATCCTTTCTGAGTAAAGATGTTCCTGCCCAGCATCTTCTAGAGCTCCTTGAGAAAGATATTGGCATGCAAACCAGTAGTAGTAGTAGTGCTCTTTCCTCTTCCTCTAAGACCTCTGTGAAGGTGGCTTTATCTTTTGCAGAAGATTCTAAAAGCATTCAAATTTGCAAACTAGGCTTTGAGCAAAGCCTGGGTAAAAGAGAAGGTCCTCCAGGTGAAGCTTCTCTTCCCCAGCAGCAGTCCAAACAACCTGACAGAGGCTTATTCCCAGACCAATCACAGACATTGTCATCGGAGGAAAGCAACATAACCATGGGGCTCCGCAGCACTAAACCTGATGACAGCAGTGAAGAGTTACACAGAGAGTTGCTGTCTGAGGTAGAGAGGCGCAGCAGTCGAGAACATGAATTTAAAAACCAACAGCGTAAAAGTTCTACACCACCCGTTATGTCTCTCACACCATTTCCCACAGGGGCTTCTGAAGTCAAGCCAAGTGCTATCAGAACTCATTTTGGTGGCCTGCAGTCGACAGGGGCGTTTTCAGCCGGCTTTGAGCGTGGTCACAGAGAACAAGACCTCTGGCTCTCTGGGAACCACACAGGGATTGATGGGTCCTACCTGGGTTTCATTCCACAATCTCAATCCACTCCAGGGGTGTTTAAAGCCCCATCCAAATCCAGTGTCAAGGCTAAATTAGGGCAACTCTCTGCCATAGAATCTAACATAGAGAACTCTTCTCAGTCAAACACAGGGATCTCTCCGCACCCAGCTGTTCCTGTAACTGATCCCCCTGAAACAACAAATCAGAGCCGAGGGGAAACCACCTCTGCTGAAGTCCAGTCTCTCCCAAGTCTCAACTACATGCAGAAAGTAGACGCCTGGAGGGCAAATCAGAGTTTAGGCAAGGCAGCACTGTTTGATAGCTTGGCACTGCAAAGATTTTCCAGCGTCTCTCCTAAACAGAACGCTTACGAAGCAGTATCTGAACCCTTGAATCGCATCCTGAGTCAGCAGGCGGGGAGATTACAGCCAAGTGCTGCCAATCAGGAGGTCACACAAAGCTCCTCCAAGGCTCCCCCTGGCTCTACTTCTCCTAGGAGAGGGGAGGCCGTGGGCAGGGCTCCCAGAGACCAAGATAACTCTGCAACAAGAACTTCTGCATCACCCTTTGGCAGGTCTCAGTCCCACTCCTCTCTAAGCACCATTGTCATGTCGGTAAAGAAAGATCAGCAGAGTAAAAGACCTGCAGGTGAAGAGAACGTTGAGACTCATCATCAGCCAAGCACCACAGTTCAGCCCCCGCCTCGCATCAGCCTCGGTCAGTTCAGCGACGTATCTCTTGATCACGATTTGACACTCTCAAGTTCCCAAGAAAGTTACAACAGTGGAGTTAAATTAGCAACATCCATCGGAGCGTCTTCTGTTGTCAGTCTGGAGGTTGATAACTACGCTCCGTACTGGACTTCGAAAATGTCCACACCACCACCGATGGCAAGGCAACGAGAGATAGACATCGAACAACGAATTCCGGTGGTTATAAAACTAAAAACAATCCTATATCAAGAAACATAGCCCAACATTTGTTTTAATCAAATTTCCCTAAATGTATGCATTTAAAAATATATATTTTAGAAGATTTTGCAGTTGGTTTATTATGAATACAGTTGTATTTAGGCCAGTGGTTCTCAACTTGTGGGTCGCAGACCCGTTTCAAGTGGGTCGCAGATGTTTTTTTATCTTTTCTTTTTCTCGAAAAAAGTCAAACTTTTATTTTGTAGGCCCGATTTTCTTACGCTGTGCATGCAGTAGGCGTTGGACTGGAAGTACCGGAGACCATAAACGGTTTTGAAAACTTCTGTCACGTCGTGATCATCTTCTCAATAAAACATCTTTGCTGATGTTTTTTCGAGTCTTCTGGCCAATCAGAATCAAGATTGTTGCCGGAAGTCCCCACGGAGAATAACTTTGCGGTAGAACTATTCTTTATACATCCATGGGTACAACTTCAGATACAAATGAACACGTAATGAAATATGACCCCCTGATTGATGATTGACAGGTCACAGAACAATGGGAGCTATCTACTCGTACCCACAATTTAAAGTAAGTCAATATCCACACTAAGCTCTGACCATTAACAGTACTGAGGCCAACTGGGGCAGCAAAGAACCTGAGTGTGACCCATAATGACAAACTGTCCTTCTCAGCATTTATGGAAGCAGTAGAGTAGAAAGAAACGGCCCAGTTGATCATCCAGGCATGCCCAAACTCATGATGCAGATAATGTAATAAGTGTGCATGACGTAATTAGGAAATGAAATAAGTAATGTAATACTCTGCCTGCAATAAAAAATCTAGCAAATTGAAAGAACAAACTGTAACATGTCATTTTATTTTTATGACAGAAGGACTATTTTTTTTGGCTTGTTGTCATTTCTTTCATTACCAAGCCTCCAAAAATAACTTGAAATCATTTTTGGAGAAATTGCACAGTTGCAATATTCACAGGATTTCATATCCATCAGGATCGCTGTAGCAAACAAAATAATCGGTGAAAGTGATTTTAGCTACAGTCTAAATACTGTGGTGTTCTTTGCTGAATTGAAAATAATGTAATATTCTCTGCAAGAAACGAACTAATTCCATGAATGTGTTCTTGAATGCAAACACAGGCCCTGAGAATTCACTGGCGCCTGACAAGAGAAAGTTGCTCTTGCATTATGACCCAGGACTACACCAAATGCAAAAGCTGTTATGTAGACACTAAAAACAAGATTTATTGTTGCTTCTTGCTTCTGGTCACGGGGCACAGCAAATTACGTTCTAGATCTTTTAGATTTTGTTCGCTTGTTGAAGTCCACGTTCTTTTTTTTTCTCAAGCCACAGAGATGTAAAGCAATGCTGGCTTAATGTTTTATTATTTGTGTCGCTTCACGATAAGAAGGTATATAGATTTCACAGCATGCTGCTCTTTTTCTCTCTCTCTCACACATAAAACCATGAAGCGGACAATCTCTTACCAAGGTCTTTTTCATTGCCACAAGCCAGCTTCAGCGTAGGGCCAGCTAATCAAGATCCTGTCCCTCTTCTGCTTACTCGAGCACTTTCTCTCCCTCTTGAACAGGATGAAATAAATTTAGATGCGTCAGATATGGTCTCCTTTTATATAATCTGTAGGGAAGTAGAATACAGAGGCAGAGTGGATTACTGAAATGTGTGGCCCACACTCTACTGAGCATATTGATGTTACCCGTTGGACCCTGACTCTTATTTAATCATGTTTGGCTTAGGCTTGTTTCCATCTACCTTTCCTCGGATTCTAGATGAATCACATCGGGGAAATAAAGCCAACTGTAAATTATCTACTTAATCTCACACCGGCTCTTGGGATATACCAAAAGACTACGGAGCTGCATTGACTTTGAGGCAGTAAGACCATTTCTTTACATCTGCTTTTATAGAGCATGCAAAAAGAAAGGGGTGAAGTTCACAGAAATCAGGAAATAGGGGCTGTAGATGAGCTCCGCTGCTTCTAATGACAGCATCATCTATCAATGTCATTTAAGAGCTGAGGGGAAAAAGCTTTGAATCACTCCCAAGTTAACCCCAGATGGTAAAAACTGAGTTTACAGTACAGTGAGTCTTATTCACCATGTGGGATTGGTAAAACCAAGACATGAACATTGGAAATAAAAACATGGAAGTGGCTGTTATGACAGCAATACAAAACAAATACTCACAAACATCTTGGTTGCATGGCAGTCGAAGGCTTACAAGATGTCATGTTGCCCAGTGCGTCATGTGAAAGAGCAGACGTTTATTTAAAGGAAATTAATATTTCCATTGTCAGTTATCAAAACAGCATCAACGCTGTATACAAAATAGACATTCCTATTACCGTGACAGTGCTGACAAGTGGATTTTGTAGAGGAGCTCTTTTGCCTCACACAGAGTATTCACCTATGAATATCATTGAGACAGAAAAAGTATATTTTTCAGGCATTATGAAACCATCCACTTCTGGTGGTAGTTTTACATTGCTTTGTACGGTCATTACTGAAGCCACTGTATTACAGGCAGACAGGGAATGGGAGAAGAGAGAATTGACTTCTTGATAATGTGGGTGGGGATTACCACATCAAGAGCTGGTTGACAGGTACAAAAGGCTTCAGCTTACTCCAAAAAAAGTCGATTGGATATTGAAAAAGCGACGACATTATTATGTAAGTGCAATTATACAAAGAGTCTATTTTAGTTAGAGGCAGACAAAATTGTCACGATTCTTATGTCATGTCACGGTTTGAGTTTTTGTGTGTCTAGTTTTGGGGTTATTTTGCTGTTCTGTCCTCCCTGTCGTTAGTTTCCATGGTGTGTCTAATTGTCTGATTGTGTTCACCTGTCGCCCTTGTGTTTCTCCTCCCCTGCCCGGCTGTTTCTCGTCTTGTGATTACCCCTCCCTGTATTTAGTCTTGTCTCTTCCTGTGTTTGGTGTGTTTGTCTTACCTTTCCTGTCACCCTCCATGTTTGACTGTCGGTTTTGTTTGGAAGCTCATGCTACGGATTTCTCGATGTTAAGTTCTTTCTTGTTTGCTTATCGTCTACAGCTTTTTGGTAAATAAAGTTCGCCTTTTGTTATTTTACCTTTTTTTGTCTTTTTAAAACTGCATTTGAGTCCCAAAATTCCTGGAACCTGACAAAAATATGCAAAATATAACCTGAACACGCATGCTGTTTTTTATTTATCTGTGTATAATAATAACATTGAGATCCGGCGACACGGCCCATCATCACTCAAACCACTCTAACCTTTCGTCTGGATTTACACTCAACACGACCCGATGACTGAAGTGCTCCTGTGTGTCAGCAATACTTTATTGAAGAACAAATGTTCTTGGACAGCCACACCAGAAACATAAAGGATTCTTTACCATGCTGGTGTACCCATATAAGTCATGTCTAAAAGTACAATACATAACACATACTGTATATATTCAGTAGTGAAGGAATACACATGTAATGACGCATGAGGGAATAAATACATTAAGGAACTTATTTCAAAATGTCATTGCTTATGGTAGGATACTTAGTAGATGCTATCAGTATTGAGTGGTAATGTATTAAACTATGATAGATAAAGAATAATGACAAATTCAAATTGGACATTATGGCCTTTATGGGAGTAAATCTGTTCAATCTGATTTTAAAATTAAAAAGCCGAAAACAAAAGATATTAACACTCTTCTATATGCCATACATTTAGTTATAGACAATAACTGAAACTTGTTCAATAACAACTTTCGACTAAATGGACATGAAACTTTAAATGAGGTGGTGTTATTAAACAATAAATATTTAAATTTAAAACACACAATATTAAATATATTAGTAATATAATATATGTAAACACACAATGGCATATAGATGAGTCAATATACTCACCAAAGCAAAATCATTCAACCCGGTTTCCATTCCCATGTTGCGGTCACGTGACCAACAGAGCGTATGAGCTTAGCTTGATTTGGCTGGATGTTGGTTTGTCTTGAGCTAGAATGGATTGCTTTTTCTTCGGTCCTGGATGTTTAATATGAGTACATAATATTTTTGCATCTGAATTTGGCCTATACAATTTGAGCAACTTGAATATACAGTCTATGTTACATTTTGTAAAACGTGACATTTTGATTCTGGATTTCAAAATCAGATAATCTTCCATGTGTCTGTACGACAATAGTGGATTATGCTTCTCACAATCTCACTTTAATAAAAAAATCACCAATTGACAAATACAAAAGGTTCTGCGATTTTTCTGTATCTAATAAACTCAATTTATTTCCCACATGTGTTAAAGATCCCCCTCAAACCCAGTTGTACAATGATACAGAAAAGTGTCAACGAAATCTCATGTGAGCTCATCAAGTCACATGACATGTTCCTTGATGATGCTGTCATACTGCAGATGGCTGAGAACCCCTCACCCATAACATCTACCCAGCGGGGATATGTGCGGATTAAGAATGACATTAACAAAAGCCGTCAAGGGACTTTTGTCAAATGGAGCAATAGTGTTGTGCAAATTGCAAAATCGTGTGATGCAGTTGTTGCTTCAATATTTTCTGAATGCCACTTTGATAGAGCGCAGAGGCTGAAGCAATTAGCTATAAGACATTGTCTTTTATTGGAAATTAATTAGAAAATGTTCAGTTGAATGGCTGCTACGTAGATGGTCCCAGATGACTGAAATACGATGACAGAGGCATGACAGCATGAAACCTTGGCATGTTAATGAATAAACACATTGGTTGAATAAATCTTAGTGAAAAGCAGTTCTTCATTTCTAATTATGGAGACCTTATCCCACAGGAGGTCTGAAAGTGTAATAGCTGAGAATACCCGGAATACAAAGAGCCATCCAATCCTAATTAAAGGCCTTTTTACAGCTGAGTCCTCACATAAATACACACACGCACGAACGCACGCACACACAGGCACAAACAAGCAGGGCCAGGACTAACTACCATGATGTCACACATCTACAAGGACTACAAATGTGAAAACACCAATTTGTCTTAAAT